CCCCCCCCCCCCCCCCCCCCAAGAGTGACTAGCACCTAATTTTTCCCTACAGTATCCCCCAAGGAATCAAACATTGAAATCATGAGAATAAATGAAATAATCACCAACTACAGAAGCTCTTGATTGTTTAACGAATTCTCTGCCTTATCAGCACGCTGGCATAATATAGAGAAGAGGTGATATATTTGACCATTTTAACCAGTTGAGCCAGTTCAGCTAGATTGTGCTGTTTGGCTGGAGAATAAGCATACAGCTGATGTTGGGGTGTAAAGGCTTAATAATTCTTCAATATACTCTATTTTTTGTTCTTTCGTTTGGTATACAGCCTTTTAAATTTCCTCATCAAATGACAGGTGACAAGAAATAACACCTTTCTGCCTATCTGCCATACTATCCTCATCTCGTGGTCTTTATTTCAAAGTGGTCATTGCCACAAAAATTTTCCGAACTCTTTAAACAAAGAGAGTACTTAATTTCGAGCTAGGGAAACGATTTGGCGTGACGAATAGCGCAATGAATTCTGGATGACGAGGATTTGTATAGTGCGCATGTCCTGGCCAGGATCGGAGTGCGTTGTGCTCTCGGGCCCTGGACAAAGATTGTGTGCGACGCAGCAAGATTACACCATGAAATTATTTTAAATCGAATAAAAACATGGAAGTGATAACTGGCAGATACTCAAATCTTATATCAAGGAGAGAGCTGCGTCAATGAAGGCCTCCTTCTTGGGAAAATATATACGCATTACCACAAATCAACTTGCGGTCACTGAACCATTTGCTATTCCTTTACAAAGAACAGCGTCAATTTTATTCATACCTTTATCTACGGGAAAGGGCCCATAAGGCAAAGGATTGACAAAAAGAGATGCATGAGTCCTTTGAGGTATATTAGCAGCATTGCAAAACAATTCTTCGGAATAGTGATTGAAAAACAGGAAAACGAAAGGAAAGGGAAAACTTGGATGAAGAGTAATAGGACGACCGGTTATAAGTCGTGAATCTACCTTCGCAAATTTCGCAGATGTAGATATTTCTCTTCACCGATATTTTAGAACTGGAGAAGAATCGAATTCACTAACAGAGGCTCCTTGGCTAGCGCCTAACAGGAGTGAATGAAATTATGGTTTAGCTTTTAATTTAGTTACAAGAAATTGAATAAATTCAAAACTATCATCTCTTCTGATCTCCGAGATCATCTATGCTATCGTCATCAATCTGCAATAATAACAAAATACCGAACTTACTTATTTGGATTGGCCTGAAGAAATTGTACAAAAAAAATGAAAAGAAAGACTCCCTTCAAAATGAAAAAAAAAAAAAAACTGTCGGTGAGGGATTATGGAACTTAGAAGTTTTGTTCCCTAAGTTCTTTTACGTCTGGTTCCCAGATCGCAACATGGTGGCCACATTAGTTCGGCGCATAAATTGGCTTCCAGTCACGCTGTTGCGGCCGTCGCCTCGTCCTGTACGGGACATCTAAGTTTTCGTGCATGCGTAGTGACGGCATCTTCGAACGGTGCCATAAGGCAACAGAGTTAAAACCTCTTTAGCACGTAATTTAGTGTTAACAACTGAGTTGAAAACGTAAATTGGCCACCGTAACGAGTAAAAAAGCTGACATTTCGAGCGTTAGCCCTCAGTCAGAGCGATTGACAAAGGGCTAACGCTCAAAACGTCAGCTTTTTTACTCTTTACGGTGGCCAATTTACGTTTTCAACTCAGTTGTTAACACTAAATTAACTGCTATACTCTCCCACCGACGCTGCACTTACCCCCTTTAAAACCTCTTTACATCGTTCAGTTTCTCTCGATTTTGAACCTAAAGTTGTGTTTAACACTGTAAACAAATAGCGTGAGTTTTCTCGACGCCTTCGTGAAGGATTTTGGATCAAAAGTTTTGATTTTACTTGGTTAATCACTGTTCGCGGCAACACACGTATTAAAACTCTTTCAAGCGGTTCAAAAATGTCAATTTTACAACCTATTAAGACACAGGTGAAGGATTCTTCCCTTCTCTTTCTCCAATTCTAGATTTCTTTTTTAAACATCACAGGAAGGAAAGACTTTACCTCTGGCCATTTCTCTGGAATGAAATCTAGTAGATCATCTAAAACATCTCCCTGGATAACAATTTCATCATCACCCGTCACTGACGATCCACACGAGTACTTTTGGGCGAAGCTCTTTGCAGCTTTTTTCAGGTCAATATCTGGAAAGAAGTAGCAACCATGTGAGAACAGTGATGTCTGGCTGGATGCCATATTGGAACAAATGACATGGAAGGTTGGCAGTTGTTTTTATCAAACTGGATATAACTATTTGACATGCAAGTTTTCTTAAGGAGTAGTACTGATAACAAAACCAACCATGAAATATCACATGATCCAAAATGGAGAAATTAACCCTTTAACAAGAGTGACCCTTTTAACATGAGTGACCAGGACAGAATTTCTCCTTACAATATCAATATATCGTGCAAAAAACAATATATATTCACACCCGTTTTCAAAAACGTTGCAAATTTAAGATGTATAAATTATCAAATATATACACCTTTTTATTTCTCATAAAAAAGAGAGACTTTTTGACCAGAAAACAAAAGATATATATATTTAATATATATTTTCAATGTTGCAACATTTTTGGTGTATAAACATATCAATTAGAGAATTTAGTTGATGCAATAACACATTCCCTAGACTAGTTAACATCAAAAGTATTGTACGGCAGACAGAAAAGAGAAGTACTGATGAGATCTGGGAGTGAAATGATTAAATGTTAAATTTTTACAGGACAAGCTTTAGTCCAGGGGCCTTTAACAAATTGTTTCAAGTCTAAATAAAAAATTATTTTTTTCTTTTCTGCCAGCACATAGTTGGGTAATAGCTAGAGAGTGGAATTATGAAGAGTGCTCTTGACCACATGACTCAGACTTTAGAGTATCAAGTTAAGGTGAAATGGCAACACCAGCAAAAAGGCTCCTTTCCTGCCTTACAAGACTGCATAACCATATGTTGAATTTAAAAATAAATAACTCTTTCCCCAATCTCAACCAAAGTTCCTTGCCCACTCTTTTTCAGTGCCTTCAGTATAATTCCAAGAGCACCTAACACAGACTAGATAGTGTCTTACATCACAAAGAAGCAATACAAGCAATCACAATTAACTAAATCAAAATAATCTACACCTACCAAATGTACCCAGTCCAGTAACAACAGTCACATATTTCTTCTTATTTCTCTGAGCTCTTGAAAGCGCTACCTTTTTTGTTACATTCTTAAAGAAAAATACAATTGCATATGTAGTAAGACACAAGTATAGAGTTCAATTACAATTTACAAGTGTGAGGTCTACAGAAATACCCTTTCTAAGTGCCTGCACAATTGCTGTACCAATTAAAGTTCAATCTACCATAGGTGAGCAAAAAAATTTCTCTTGCAGCAGCTGCAAGCCGTAGTAACTCAATGGTCTAATATCCACCCTATACATCCTAACATCACTTTTAATATTCTCCCTGCTATTCCACATACATTTCCTAAGGTGCTGACAAGGAGAATTTCTTTTACAATCAAGAGCTTCTTCAGCTGGTGATGATTTTCTTTATTCTCATGACCTTTATGTGTGATTCAGAGGTGATATTGTAAGGAGAAATTAGATACTGGTAACTCTTAGGGGTTCAAAGGTAAAAGGTTTAGACAGAACTACACATATCTACTTACATAATCCCTTGTCCAATAAACACTTAAAAATTATAAATTAAGGTATTTTGTGATGGACGTGATAAGCTTAAATTAATAAATTCAAAAGCAAAGCATTTTGTAAATGCTATATACTGTGGTTCAATATTCTCATAATATCAATTTCAAGTACCAGAATGTTGTGTGACTCAACAATGACAATACCACAATATCCAGGCTGTGGACTTTACATAATTATACATACTACACTGTGTATTGTATTATGCATTGTGTATTGTATTGCACATTGTGTATTGTATTGCGCCGTGACTGGCTGCATTATTTTTAGCTCACATCCCTTCTAACTTTTAAGTGTTTTTAATTTTGCTGAGTGACCTTAACTCTTGAAAACTTCACTGCTTGATTTAAGCACATTTCTAGGACTTTCCAGGACCTGTAGTCTTCTCCAGGTCTTTCCAGTCTTGGAAAATGTCAAAATAAAATTTCAGGACTTTCCAGGTTTTCAAGGACCTACACCAACCCAGAATTCATCACTAAGCACAAATCATAATGCAATAAACACTGTGCAGGAAATTCACAGGAAGCATTTAAGCCTCATTATTCAAGCATCTACCTTTTTCTTTGGTGCTCTAACAACCCCTTTGCCACCTAAATAAAAGTAAAAGAGAAAAAAGAGCTTAGAATCCTTTCCTGTGAAGTGCTTTAAAGATTTCTTACATCTAATGTAAAGTACTTGAAGAAAGGCTTTCAATGAAAGTGCAGATGGAGCCATACAGGTCAGATGATAGATATCTTATACATGATCAAGGCTGTGCTTTAACAAAAAGTGGAGGGAGCCCAGTGCTCTGAAATTATGAAATCCAGTGTGTCCAGCACATGCTTTTAATGAAAAAACTAAGATGCCCTAGTTGTCCTAGAGCAAAAGTAAGGCACCAGGAACCACCAGGTGCTGTAAGAACACAGCCCTAGTGATATTTACACACCTCTAGTCTGCTTTTTTTTGGCTGCTCCTTCACTTACTTCCACATCACCCAATTGGTCTGCAACTAAAACATCACTGACAATTCAGCATGACTATCTTAGATGAACAATTTTGTTTGGTGTCTATCATTGACAAGAACAGAGATCTTGGCTAAACCTTTCAAACAAACAACCTAAAACATCAGGAAAGCTAGGAGTCTAGTTTACCAAAACATCATAAGACAGTACACTTTTCATTCCTAAAACATTCCATAGTTACTGACCAACTTATGAGTTCATACGTATGAGTT